GTGAAGCTAGCCAATCCCTAAAAAACAAATGCCAAATGTCTTCTTTGATATAAGGAGAGTAACTAAGAACAGAGTAGGGTCGAAGAGCATGAGAAGAAGATTAACATTAAACAGGGATGAGAGGTGGGAGGGAAAGGGAGAGAGAAGGGAAAATGCATGGAAATGGAAGGAGACACTCAGAGTTATACAAAAGTACATACAAGAGGAAGTGAGGGGAAGGGGAAAAATAATACAAGGGGGACAAACGAATGTCAGTAGAGGGGGCAGAGAGAGAAGAGAAGAGGGGAGGGGAGGGGAGGGGAGGGGGGATAGTAGAGGATAGGAAAGGCAGCAGAATACAACAGACACTAGTATGGCAATATGTAAATCAATGGATGTGTAACTGATGTGATTCTGCAATCTGTATAGGGGGTAAAAATGGGAGCTCATAACCCACTTGAATCAAATTGTGAAATATGATATATCAAGAACTATGTAATGTTTTGAACAGCCAACAATAAAAAATTAAAAAAAAAAAGAAAAATTAAAATATATTTGCTATGAAAAAAAAATAAATAAATAAAAATGGCCAAGAGGTATATAAAAATGATCATCATCATTATTATCAGGGAAATGCTAATAAAAACCACAATGAAATATCACCCTCACTCCAGTTAAAATGGTTGTTGTCAAAGACAAAAGATAACAACAAGTGTTGGTGAGAATATGGAGAAAAAGAAACACAGTTGGTGCAGATAAAAATCAGGACAACAATTTAAAATAGTATTATGGTTCCTAAAAAATTAAAAATAGAATTACCATATGAGGGCTAGGGAGTGTGGCTCAAGCGGTAGCGCGCTCGCCTGGCATGCGTGCGGGGCCGGGGTTCGATCCTCAGCACCACATACAAACAAAGATGTTGTGTCCGCTGAAAACTAAAAAATAAATATTAAAATTCTCTCTCTCTCTTAAAAAAAAAGAAATTAGAATTACCATATGATCCAGCAATTCCATTACTGGAAATATATCCAAAGGAAATGAAATTGGTATGTTGAAGAGACATCTGCTCTCTCATGTTTATTATAGCACTATTCACAGTAGCCAAGAAATGAAGCCACCTGAGTGTTCATCAACTGAAGAATGGATGAAGAAAATGTGTTATGTGTGCATAATGGACTGCCATAAAAGGATGAAGTCCTGTCATTTGTGACAGTGTGGATAAAACTGGAGATTATTATTTTAGGTGAAATAAGACAGACACAGAAAGATGTGTACTGCATGGTCTCATGGTTTCATGGTTCATGGAATCCAAAGAACATTATCTCATAGAAGTTGAGATACAGTGGTTCACAGAGGCTGGAGAGGGAAGGGGATAGGGAGGAATGGGGAAGGTTGAACAACAGGTACTACCTTCTCCTTAGACAGGCAGAATAGGTTCTGGTGTTCTATCCTGCAACAGGGTAACCATAGATAATGATGATGGTATATTTTTTAAAAGCTAGAAGAAAGGATTTTGAATGTTTTCACTGTACAGAAATGATAAATATTTGAGATAGATATATTTTCCCTTATTTGAACATGACACAATGTACACATGGAAAAATATCACATGGTTGCCCATAAACAAACTTTTGTGCCAATTTAAAACATTTTTAAAAATTAAAAATTTTTAAAAAATAAGATTGGGTTATATCAATTGCCACAACAAATAGTAGCAAATACACATAACTGAGCTGCAAAAGTGAAAAGACAGGAATTATTAAATCCCCTGTGTGTGTGTGTGTGTGTGTGTGTGTCCTATTCCTTTTCCTGAGTAACATTCTGTCATTCATGAAATTCATTCATGCACCAAGGATTAACTGTGTGCCTCTTATTGTCAAACACTGTGCTGAGAGCTGGGGGTAGATAGAAGGTTTACAACACAGAACAATGGAGAAAGCCTATAGTTCCTACCCCAACACTTGGCACATCAAAATATTCCATCTCCCCACCCCCCAAGAATCTCCCGGGGAGACTTACCAAATAAGAGATGACTACTTCCTCTTTTGGGTCATTCTGCTACTTAATAAAACTTCCAAGATGTCGTCTTCTAGGGTGCAATCTTGTCAGCTGGGACCCTTTTATGTTTGCCTTGTTTCCCATACTAGATGGCCGAGAGCTTGGGTCTTGTGATCAGTGTGTGTGTGTGTGTGTGTGTGTGTGTGTGTGTGTGTGTGATGAATGAGTGAAGTTGTGTAGAGAGCAGAAAGTAAAATCATTAGCAGTCTGTGGTTAAGACTTCAGCACCGTAAATTCTGTCCTTGGCTTGTACTAGCCAGGTGACCCAAGGAAAAGGATTCAACTTCTCTGGGCTTCCATTCTGCATCTGTGGTATGGGGATGATAGACTCCTTTGCAGGACTACTGTGAGAATTCAGTGAGCTAATAGAAAGTGGAGAGAGATATAAATGTTAAGTATTATGACAGCTCCTTTGTTCTGCCATAGAGATGTTATTACCCTATGCTTGCTTTTCCCTTTCATGGTCCAAGCTTTCTAACCATTGGCTAAAGTCCTCTAGCACTCCTAAAGCATCCCTCCAGAATTCTATGCCCAGGAGTGCAGGAAGAACCAGGTGCTTTTGGAAAGGATCCTCTTTATGAGTTCCTATGTATGTGTATGTTTCTACTCTATAGATAGAATTAAAATAAATTCTTTTTAAAGAAAATCCTGGGCTAGACAGCGTTTTTTCCTTCAAAGACAGATTGCATGTGGCAAGAGGAAGGATAGCAGTTGTGGGGTGGGTCCAGTCAGGCTGCGTGGGTCAGCATAAGATGGAAACGGACTGAGAAATCCAACCCTAGGGCTTCTTCCCACAAGGTTTCTGTTCTCTTTTTCCCACCCAGTAGGCAGCAGATAAAACAGAGACATGAATTAATTTGGACACAGAACCTACTTTGGAGAAAGCCTACAGTCCCTACCCCAACACTTGGCACATCAAAATAGTCTATCTCCCCACCCGCAAGAATCTCCCTGGGAGACTTACCAAATAAGAAGCTTCTGCTTCTGATGTGGTTTCTCCACTCTTTACACTATGACACATATATGCCAGATCAGATGAAGCCCTTCCTGCCTTTCACCCTGCTGGAACCTTCTTCAGCACCTCTGAGCTCAAGGATGTAGCAGAAAATTATTGAGTAGGGAATGCCAAACTCTCCAAATGGCTGCTCTTCAAACTCTCCCATACCCTCTGTGTGGCTTTGATCTCTTGCCACAAGTTTGGTCTGGGCTCTGTGCACACAGGGGTGCCAGAGAGAGCTGGCTTTGGCTGACTCATAGTCTCACTGGGCTGAGGAGATGGGCAGCACCTCTGCCCCTTTCTGCTTATGCTATCCCCTCAGTTCCTGCCCTTTGGAAAGGAAATGTCACAGTCATGATGCACTGAAATAAGGCTGTAAGTTGCAATACCCTAAGGTCCTGGCAGGAGCCTCACTGTTCTCATCTGTAAAATGGATGGGTTATATTAAGAACACTTTGTGTTCTGCACTTTAATGATCTGAAGTTGTCCTTGGCAAAAGTGAGCTATCTTACTTTGGTTTTTCTCTGGTTAGAATTCACCTCAAATCAGCCTCAAGTATTACAGAAGCATGTTGGGTGGCTTGAGAGAAGAAGTGTGGTCTTATTCTTCCAGTATTCTTGTCACTTCCCTCACCCACTAAGGGTAAAGCCAAATCTTGAGGAAAGGGAGCAACAAAAAGGTCAGAATTTGTGTTATCTTGGAGGGCCGAGGCCTCTTTGGCATTCACTCTGTCCGGAAGACTAGCTTTATCCAGATCTTGGACCACTTCCCTCCCACACACCTTTTTTAAAAAATATTTTTTTAGTTATACATGGGCACAATATCTTTATTTTGTTTATTTATTTATTTTTATTTTTATTTTTTTTAAGAGAGAGAAGAGAAAGAAAATTTTTTAAATATTTATTTTTCAGTTTTTGGTGCACACAACATCTTTATTTTTATTTTATGAGGTGCTGAGGATTGAACCCAGCGCCCTGCGCATGCCAGGCTTGAGCCACATCCCCAGCCCCTTGTTTATTTATTTTTATGTAGTGCTGAGGATCGAACCTAGGGTCTGATTGCTCTACCGCTGAGCCACAACCCCAGCCCCCATCTTTTATTTAGCAGGTTTTTCTGTTACTACTTCCTTCTTGGAATTCAACCCTTTCTCCTCCCACCCCCTTCAAATTTTCTTTAGCTACACATATTCCAGCCCCCTCCACCCCCCCCATATTGTGTTTGAAGTCTCTGCAGATACTCACCTCCAGGTGACACTGCTGTTCTCACCCCTCATCATCATCCCTTGTCAGCCTGGCCTCTCCCTACCCTGGCATGGTTCACGCCAGGGTCACTGATGGTGTCTGTTGCCAGAACCAACAGAATCATTTGATGTTTAGCAACCTGTGACAGTGTTTGAGCCCCTTTTCTCCAGCTCTCTTGGATGATGCTCTTCTTGCCCCATGCTTTCCTCTCCCTCTTTGAGGATCCCTCTTCCCACTTTGTGGGTTCCTGCTCTGCTGCCAACACTGGCAATTCCCTGGGATTCACCCCAGACCCATCTTTCTCCTCCTTCTTCACACTCTCACCAGGACCTACCCCAGCAATTCTGCAGTTGGGTCCAAAAGATACCTCCAAACCAGGCTTTCCTCCTAAGACTCAGATCCACACACCCACTTGCAGGAAGTGAAGATCCCAGTCCTCACTAATTCCTTTTAATTTCCCCCCCTGCCGGCAGGACCAAAATAACATGTCTTAAAGGCCCTGCTTCCCCTTTGTCAACTCCCCAAGGCCCTGATCTCATCTCTTGTCACTTCTGACCTCCCACGTGCATCGTTCCCATCATCAGTTTCTCAAACATGCCCTTCTATCTCATGCCTCATGCCCCTTCTGCCTCATGCCCCTTCTGAAGCACCTCCTCCCCACTTGCAGTCTCCTGACTTAGGCTGCCTTCAAGGTTCAACTCGAGTGCTGCCTCCTCCAAGAAGCCTTATTGGAAACTCACACCCTCCCAGCCCAGGTAAGACACCCTGTGGTCTCCGTACTCCCCTCTCATAGCAACCATTTTGCTATTTACCCATTTGCTTTCTCCACTGACCCCAGAATGGGGGCCTTGTGGTTTATGTTTTTTTTCTTCTACCTAGCAAAAGACTTTTATAATCGGCCTCAAATTAGGCTTTTTGAATAAATGATGAATAAATGAGCAAAGGAATGAATGAATGCCCACTCTGTGCTCCTCCTAGGGACCAGATGATCTACTCCTTGGCCTATAGGCTTCCTGGTCAGAAGTAAAGGGTTTACACCAGAGTTTCCATTAGTTCCTGAAGGGCTACATTGTTCTTCTCTCCTCTCTGAGATGATAGATATTTCAAGATCAAGGGGAGCACACCGTTAGTGCAAAAGGGAAGTGCGAGAGGTGAGGCTGGTCGGGGGTTTGCACTCACCCAAGTAAAAACTGGCAAGCCAAAGAAGCGAGCCAGGTCATCTCTGATCAGAACAGCTCCTGATCAGCAATGCGTGGGCTACCTGGGTTCCCTTTTCTGATCATGATAGTTGTATTTTCCTCCCCCACCTCTGAGTCATACTGACAACTTCCCTCCATGCCTCTGGCCTCCTGACCACTTCTCTGCTCATTTCTTCCTCAGTACCTTTGTCCAGTGGTGCCTTCAGCAAGCCCAGGAGCTCAGAGCCCAACAGCTGACCTTCCAGTCATGAGCAGGACATGGACGGCCCTCCTGCTATTCCTGGGTGAGCATGGGCCCTGAGGAAGGGGGTCTCAGGAACCTGGGTCAGAGTGCTCCAGGCCCCCTGAACTGTGGGGATCAGGGTCTGAGTAGGGAGAGAGACTTGGCACTAGGGGGAGGTTGGTACGTAGGGCTTGGGATCTGGAGTTAGTGGAGGGAAAGGATATTAAGGAACCAATTTTGGGAGAATTTGCTGCTGGAAGAGAGGTGAACCACATTGACAATTCAGAAGTAGAAGAAATCAATTTTGTGCTGTGTCCATAGTGCCCCTTCAGACCCCACATTTCCCTAGATTCTCCCTCATAGAAGCCTCAGAAGTAAGGGGTAGGGAAGGATTATATTTAGAGCTTGGGTATTGCTCTGTGGAACTGGAGAATTGAAACTTGACAATGGAACAATGGGTGAAGAGCCATCTGTATACTGTGCAAAAGAGAAAAGTGAGATGAATCTAGGAGCCCAGGAGGCCAGGGGACTCTGGGGTATTGGACCTAGAGAGTAGAGCAGGAAGTTGGGGCCCTGGAAGATGGGACTGAGCATCTGGGTGTGGTCGTCAGGCAGGAGGAAGACCCTTCTCTCCACAGCTCTCTTCTCACTCTCTTCATCAGCTTCATCTCTTGGCTTCAACTTGGACACAGAGAAGGTGACAACCTTCCGTGTGGACAGTGCTGGGTTTGGACACAGTGTAGTCCAGTATGCCAACTCCTGGTGAGGACCGGTAGTGACTGACTTCTAGCTTTTTCATCAGCTCCTCTCCCCACACAGAGCCCTGTCCTTCCCCTTCTCACACTCCAGGGCATTATTTGCATACTTTCTCTCTATTGGGTGTGGCAACTTTTCCTAGTGATGAATGTTTGGTCTGAGAGTAGACACTGTCTTGTTGTTTTTTTTTTTTAAATAATTCATTTATTTATTCTTGTTTTAAAATTTCTATTGGTTCTTTTTAATTATACTTAGCATTAGGATTAATTTCAACACAATTAGAAAAGCACAGAGTATAACTTGCTCTAAATCAGTCCCCAATACTTCCTTTTCCTGCCCCACTGTCTTGCTTTTTCAATAATCACAGCTAACATTTATTGAGCACTTACTAAGTGCCAGGCATTTTAGCATGGATGTTATAGATGGGCACTAATTTAGTCCTCACCACAACCTTATAGGAATCAGCCATTCAACAAATATCTATTTAGCATCTACTATATATTTCAGGAGCAGGGTATATAACAGAGAATGAGTCAGACAAAAGTGCTGCCCTTGCAGAATTTAAATTGTTCTTAATCTCCATTTTATAGATGAAATCGAGGCTCAGGGAGGAGAGCAAACTTTCTGGAGTGGCCGTCAGTCCCCAGCCAGGCACTCTTCACTACAGTGTTCTTTGTCTCTCCATAGGGTGGTGGTTGGAGCCCCCAAGGAGATAAAAGCTGACAACCAAACAGGTGGACTCTATAAGTGTGAATACAGCAGGGGCACATGTAAGCCCATCCACCTGCAGGGTGAGTCACTGCCCTTGCCTGGGATGCAGCACCAGGCTCCAATGCTCTGGGACCAGTGGAGAGCACAGGTGTTCCATTGGCTGGCTTCAGCTCTGTCTGCAGCCCCTCGACCTCAGACAGGAGGTTCCTATACCCTCAAGACCTTCCAGCCCATTGCACCCCCGCACTCCCTCAGCTCCTTCAAGACCTGGAAGCCTCCTTCACATGTTAGACCTCCTTGTCTCCCAAGTTGAGGGGATGTCTACCCATATCTTACTGTTCTTGAGGGTGAACATGCATGTGTCTGTCTCCTTAGTCCCTCCGGAGGCTGTGAATATGTCCTTAGGCCTGTCCCTGGCAACCACCACCAAGCCCTCCAAGTTGCTGGTGAGTTTCCCTGGGTCACAAAAGGGTCCTGAGGGAAGGAGTGGGGACCTGGGACTCCTGAGATTGGTGATCTTGTGGATGGTAGAAGTGCTGGGATAGGAGGGTGGGCAGGACAGGGACAGCTGCTCCCATTAGCCTTCTGTGTCCCCAGGCCTGTGGCCCCACTGTACATCATGCATGCAGAGAGAACATATATTTGAATGGGCTCTGCTTCCTGTTGGTCTCCCCCTCTGAGCAGGGCCAAAGGCTCCCAGCTGCTTTGCAGGGTGAGTTTTTGGTGATCTTTTGGGGAGCTCACATATATCCAACTGGGGGTGCATTGGGGTCAGAGATGCTTTTACCAGAGTGATAAGAAGGGGAGATCTAGAAAAAATTTTACTAGACAGTGTAGTGACTCCAAACATGGCTTCCCTGCTGGCTTTGAAACCCTGTCCCATCACCGTTCAACAGTACAACGTTTCCTACGTGACCTTACCCTCTGAGCTTTGGTTTTGTCATCTGCCAAATGGGGATAATAACACACCCCACACTGAAAGTAAGATAAGATGATCTGTGGCCAGAGTTTAGCACAGTACCTGACACAAGGGGAGAGCTCCATTAATGCAAACTGCTATTATGTTTAGAGAGAAGGGGATTCATTTTCCTCCAGTGTGTTCTGAGATAGATATAACCAATTGGTTTGTCCAGCAGTCTGGGAATGGTGGTAAGGGTGCAATCTAAGTTGTGTGTGTGTGTGTGTGTGTGTGTGTGTGTGTGTGCATGCGCAAGGGCATGTGTTCATACAGGTTGAGGCATCGGGCTTGTCTTCTCTGGTGTTGATGGGGAATCCAAGATAAGGAGGCTAAACAGTGAATGAGCTTTTCAGACTTACCCATGTCAGACTGAGCCCACTCCCTGGTTTCACATTCACTCTGATGCCCTTGGAGAAAACTATATCTGACTACTGAAGGGTGCCCCTTTTATCACCTCCTTGGGTGGAGACTCCACCCACAGGGGCCATCAGAACCCCCAGGATACCAGTCTTTCTATGGGAGACCTCCAGGGAAGAAAGGGGAAGCTGGGAGGCGGGAATGGAATGGGGGCCTCCCCTCCTGATCTGGAAGTTTCCTTTTTCTGAGGACAGATTCCACATTTGCCCAGGAGAAAAGTAAGGGTGTATATTTAAGCTGAGAACAGAATAGGACCAGTGTGTAGCTGTGGCCAGGAATGATATTAAAAATAGTGAACAAAAGTACAGTTTAGCACTGACCAACAAGAACAAACACTGACCAGGGCTAGCACAGGCTTCTTTCCTTGCAAGAAGTTGGGGGTAGAGGGGAATAAGTGGGGTCAGGTCCAGGGGTAGGGGAGGCTTTCAGCTTCTTACCATCTGGATGGAAGGAACTTTCACTTTTCTGTTTTTTGATGGACGAGGCTGAAGCAGCTCAATCACAGTTGTAGCCTCTCTGAGACCTTAGGAAACTCAAGTGCTCCATTTATTATATTTATTTTTTAGTTTTTTAGGTAGACACAATATCTTTATTTTTTATTTTTATGTGGTGCTGAGTTTTGAACCCAGGGCCCCGCACATGGGAGGCTAGCTCTCTACCACTGAGCCACAATCCCAGACCCCCCCCACTTTCTAACAAGGAGAGGACCAGGGTGTGGGGGCTGAACTCTGATTGTCAGACTGGAGTGAGGGGGAAGGTGTTGGGAAACTGAGTTCTTGTGACCAGAAAGCTAAGGTCATGGGTTCTTTGGAGAATCCACTGGAGGACCAGGGCCACCTCCTTCCCTAGAATGCCCAAGGCAGAATCAGGATATCGTGTTCCTGATTGATGGCTCAGGCAGCATCTCCAACACAAATTTTGCCACAATGATAAGATTCGTGAAGGCTGTGATGAGCCAGTTCCAGAGACCCAACACCCAGGTGAGCTCTTGGGAGAGGGGTGCAAGTCTGCTGGGCACTGCTTGGGGCAGGCTTGCTGGGGAAAGTCTGGGGACCTGGTGAAGCAGTCTCATACCCCAGCTCTATATGGTTCTCCCAGTTCTCTCTGATGCAGTTCTCCAGCAAATTCTTGGTACACTTCAATTTCAACAAATTCATCTCCAGTTCAGACCCTCTAACACTGTTGGATTCTGTACACCAGCTGAAAGGGTACACTCACACGGCCACAGCCATCCAAAAGGTCATGTGAGTCCAGACTTCTCCTACTTCCTTTCCCAAAGCATCCAGGTCTTCCTTTGAGCCTCATCTGCCTTCTCAAGAAAGGGCCAGGCAGAGACTGAAAATCTAGCCTGGGACCCCCTTGCAAAGTTGGGGACTCTTGAGTGGGACTGCAAGGGGCATGGCCTTCTTTTTACAAAGCCATCAAAGGCTGCTGTAGTTCTGTTCACAGGCCTCTGGACCCTCTTCTTTCCTGACAGAAACATACTGTTCACCACCCAAAGTGGGGCCCGCAAGGATGCCACCAAGATCCTGATTGTCATCACTGATGGGCAGAAGCAAGGGGACTACCTGGATTATAAGGATGTCATTCCCATGGCTGAGGCGGCAGGCATCATCCGTTATGCAATTGGGGTAGGGCATAGAGATGCTACCTACTACTACTCCCCAGCAGGCAACTTCCCTTTCAAGGGTAGAGATTCTACTGCCTTCTGGATTAAAACTCAGCTTGGGGACTCATGATCCTTTCCCTCAAATCTTTTGATGCTATCTGAGCCTTATTTTTCTCACCTGTGCTATAAGCCTGACGTGCAGTGTTCTTGGAAGAGATCAACACCCAGACATACAGGCATATTGTATTTCTTATTTCCATGGAGTTGGTCTTTTCTCTGGACAGGTTGGAGAGGCTTTTCAAATGAGTAATTCCTGGAAAGAATTAAATGACATTGCATCGAGGCCTGCTCATGAATACATATTTAAAGTGGAGAACTTTGATGCTTTGAAGGATATTCAAAACCAGCTCCAGGAGAAGATCTTTGCCATTGAAGGTAAGTCAGAGATAGAGCTACTTGCTTCAGAAATCCTCATCCACAAGGGCTTTTCCTTCCTTCCTCCTTTTTTTTTTTTTTTGTACTGGGGATTGAACCCAGGGCCTTATGCATACAAAACAAGCACTTTATCAATTGAGCTATATTCCCAGCCTCTTTTCCTTTTTGAATCTAGATCCCCATGTCATGGGCAATAACCCTTGTTGTAGGTGTTGATTTCCAATCTTAGATTCTCCTAAGAATCCTTCCTGGACTTGGAAAGGCTGAATTTCTCCCTGAAATCCAAACATCATGCCTTCCCCAGGTACAGAGACCATAAGCAGTAGCTCTTTCGAAATGGAAATGTCCCAGGAGGGCTTCAGCGCTGTGTTCACACCTGTGAGTGGGGTCTCTTCAGGCTGACAAAGAAGGATGAGGAAGATTGGGAGGAGGGAAGGCAGAGGAGGAGTGGATGGTTGTGTAGAGCCAATGGCAGACTTTGTTTGGCTTAGGCTGCCCTCTTGCTTTGTTCTGCTCAGCCCTGGAATCTTTTCCTCCCAGGATGGACCAGTTCTGGGGACTGTGGGGAGCTTTAGCTGGTCTGGAGGTGCCTTCCTGTACCCGCCACATATGAACCCCACCTTCATCAACATGTCTCAGGAGAATGTGGACATGAGGGACTCTTACCTAGGTGAGAAAAGGCTGTGGTGGGGGACAGGTGGATGACAAGCTGTGGGAAGGGGAGGAGAGGCCTTAGTGCTGACTCTGGGCCCCCTCAGGTTACTCCAGTGAGCTGGCCCTTTGGAAAGGGGTGCACAGCCTTATCTTGGGGGCCCCTCGCCACCAGCACACTGGGAAGGTTGTCATCTTCACCCAGATATCCAGGCAATGGAGGCCAAAGGCTGAAGTCACAGGGACCCAGGTTGGTGTGGAAGACCATGTTGGTGGAACATGAGGGCGGGCAGGGTGGCTAGGGGCAGGGAGCTGATAGGGCAGGTCCTGGTACCTGAGGAGAGGCAGGACCTGGCCCAGAAAGGAGGTGCCTCTGGCAGGGGCAGGCAAGATGACTTCAGACTCTCCTCCCAGGTCGGCTCTTATTTTGGGGCCTCCCTCTGCTCTGTGGATGTGGACAGCGATGGCAGCACCGATGTGGTCCTAATTGGGGCCCCCCATTACTACGAGCAGACCCGAGGAGGAGGGCAGGTGTCCGTGTGCCCCATGCCCAGGGGGGTGAGTGGTGATGGGACCTGGGCTGGGTGGGGCCCGGGTGTGAGGTGTGGATTGCCTGGATTGGACCTGGCACTGGTTTTTTTGTTCTGTAGAGGAGCAGGTGGCAGTGTGCGATCATTCTCTGTGGAGAGCGGGGCCATCCCTGGGGTCGCTTTGGAGCAGCTCTGACAGTGCTGGGAGATGTTAATGGGGACTATCTGACAGATGTGGCCGTTGGGGCCCCTGGAGAGGAGGAGAACCAGGGTGCTGTTTACTTATTTCATGGAACCTCAGGACTGGACATCAGTCCCTCCCACAGCCAGGTGAAGCACTATTTTTCCTGTCACTGTGACAGCTTCCTCTTTGCTTCTCCTCCTTTCACAATATCAACTGGAAAAATGTCCCCCTTTAGCACATTTTCCTCCCTGCCATAGTACTGGGCATATTGTGGAAGTGAGTAAAACCCGAAGAATTGAGGCATGGGAACACTCACTGCTGCACACCCTGCTTTGTATGGAGACTGGATGCTTGTGTAATTTGCAACTCAGGACTTTTAATCCCACAGAAGCTTTACCAGACTAGGCATTAGCAAACCCATATTCTTTCTTCTTCTTTTTTAACCTTTTTATTCATGCATCATGATTATGCATAGCAGTGGGATTCTTGTTACATGTTCATGCATGCACACACTAGAGTAGGATAATTTGGTCCCTTTAATTCCCGAGGACCTTCTCTTTCTTTTTCCTCCTCCTTCTCCCTGGTTCCTTTCCTCTACTCCACTGCTCTCCCTTATATTTTCGTGAGATCCTCCTCTACCTTGTTTCCTCCTTTTTCTTTCTAGCTTCCACATATGAGATAAAACATACAACCCTTGACTTTCTTAGTTTAGCAAACCCATTTTACAGATGTGACTTGACTTGTCCAAAGTTCATGGTGGACCAGGAATGACCATTAGGTTGGTTTGGGTCTTCCGACTTCTAGCCTAGTTCTCAGCCTTTCAGTGGCTCCTTGTTGCTCATGTAGCTGCCTCAGTCAGCCTGTCCACTCACCCCTCCATCTCACTGGATGCTGTCTGATTTTATTCCATTCCTGCCATCAGTGATCCTACCAAATGCCCATATAGGCAGGAACCTTTCACCCAGTGGAGCAAGAATTCCCTGAGAAGAGAAAGCTGATTTCCTTGGCAAAAAAATCAAGAAAGCCCAAATTAAAAAACAGGTGAAGGATCTGGGTAGATGTTTCACCAAAGAAGACTTGGAAAAAAAAAAAAAGAGGGCAGTGGCCAATAAGCACATATTCACATCATTAGACATCAGGCATCAGCAAATCAAAACCACAGTGAGGTACAACTTCATACCCATGAGAATGACTAGAATCAAGAAGGTCAATTGGTGAGGATGTGGAGAAATTGGTGCCCTCATTCACTGCTGGTGGTAATGTAAAGTGGTGCAGCTGCTTTGCAAAATAGTCTGACAGTTTCTCAGAAATGTTAGAGTTGCTCTATGACTCAAAAAATCCACTACTGGAAGAAATCCACACAAAAACTTGTACATGAGAATGTTCTTTGCAGCATTGTTCATAATAGCCCAAAGATGGAAACAATCCAAATGTCTATCTGCAGATGAATGGATAAATAAAATGTGGTATGCCCACTAGATAGAATATTATTCAGCCATAAAAGTAACAAGGTACTGACACATGCTACAACATGATGAATCTTGAAAACATTATATTTAGTGAAAGAAGGCAGTCACAGAGGACTATATATTACATGATTACATTTACATAAAATGAACAGAATAGGCAAATACAGAGAGACAAAAAGTAGCACAAAAAAGGTATCAAGGATGGTCCCTGTAGTTCTACTAATATCTATATATTGGTCAGGTTACTCACCTCTCTGTGCTCAGTTTCTCTTTGTAAAATGGTGATCATAAGAGAATCAACCTCATATGGCTGATGCTATGAGGGTGAGCATGATGGAGGGCTCATAAAAGGTGTTATACTCTTATAATCAGTTAATGTTGTAACTACTGTTAATATAGGTTCAAGAAGAGGGGTCTAAAGAAGAGGGTGAAAGACCTTGTGGAGAATAACCAGAAACTGCATTCAGTCCACACTAATTTGTTTAATTTCCGCTTGCTCAGAGGTATATCTGGGTAGATCCTTGATTACAAATATCACCTGGGTTCTACCTGAAAGGCCTGACTCCAAGAGGAAGCCTTTCTGAATTCACTGACCCACCAGGATTTCCCCTTCCTTCCACTCCATCACTTGTCTCATCACACACTTGATTGGACTGGCCTTGCCTTGTTCTCTGCTGGCTCCTACACTAACCCTGAAGACACAGCACTGGGGTCAGCTTTTCTGAGAGTTGAGGCCCTGAGCATTGACTTGATTGTGCTGTTTCTACCCCACTAGCCTTGCCATCCTTAGTAATTGGTAAGTTTCTATTTTTATTTCATTATTTTTCTTAATAATTATTATTCTGCTAGTCCTCATAGTGCGAGAGATTTAAGGGGATTAGGATTGGGCATTACAACAGTAATGGAAATAAAGGGAAAAGAACCCACAGGAGTAATGCCCAGGCAGGTAGAATCTGGGTTGGGTGTGGCCACCCCCATCCCAACTCAGCCTCTCCTGTTCTTTGAAGAGATAGCAAAAGGTGCCTTGGGCTTGGAGGCAGACAGTCTGAGGTCTGGAATCAGCCTCCAAAAGGTCATGGGAATTTGGCACAATCCCCCAACCTCTCTCATTTATTTGTGAAATGAAAGGTGAGACTAGATGGATTCTTGGTCACTTTTAACCTTGAGATTCATCAAAAAGTCACTGACTATTTATTGACCATACTCTACGTGCTGTTCTAAAAGCTATATGGATAAATTCATCTACGCTTATAATTAAACTTGGAAGTATTACTACTTCCTGTAGAAGATGGGGGAAACTGAGTTACATAAAGATTTGTGGAGAAGTTAGAATTGGAACCAGGGACTAACTGAATGAATGAATGAATAAATGAAACTCAGGTCAACAGCATAGCCTTCTAATCTCCGCTTCTTTACTTCTTAGGAATTGTTTCTTTTCTTCAGTCATAATTTTCCCACTATAACCTCTTCTTTTTAGGCCCTTCTTGGTGACCTCTTTTCACATCTCACCCTTTCTATCTTTCACATTCATACCTCTTATTTTTTTTTGTTGCTTATTTCCAACTTGTCCCATTACCCCATTTCACTCCATTTTCAGTTGCTACAACAAAATATCTGAGGCTGAATAATGTATTTAAAAAAAAGGCCCTTGGCTTCATCACATCATGGCAGATGGTGTCATGGTGGGAACACATGTGAGAAGTTGGGATTACATGGCAAGACAAGATGTCAGAGAGAATAAGGAGAGGGGATGGTCTTGTTCTTTTATAACAATTCTCTATGGAACTAATTGGGCCCACATAAGAACTACTTAATGATTTGAGAGGGCAATGCCCCAAAGACCCAGTTACTTTCCACTAGCCTCCACCTCTTAAAGGGTCTGCTGCACCAAGGACCAAGCCTCTAATAAAGGAACCCTTGGAGGACCAATCAAATCCATACTGTCTCCTCCTGACTCACCTTCTCTTCTAAATAGAGAATTGCAGGCTCTCAGTTCTCCCCCACACTCCAGTATTTTGGGCAGTCACTGAGTGGGGGTCAGGACCTCACTATGGATGGACTGGTGGACCTGGCTGTAGGGTCCCAGGGACAAGTGCTGCTGCTCAGGTAAGAACAGATTCCTTCCTCAGATATTCCCCATGTGGTCCTAGGTCCAGATCGGATACCTGCACCCCCGCCCCCCATTGCAGGTTGTGCTCCTAGGAGCCAAGGACCTGTTCTCAGCTTGATGTTCTGCCCATAGGACCAGACCTGTTCTCAGAGTGTGGGTGACCATACACTTCACACCTGCAGAGATCTCCAGGTCTGTGTTTGAGTGTCACGAGCAGGACTCCTCTGTCCAGGAACTGGGTGATGCTACTATCTGTCTTGATATTTATGGAACTCCCAAGAACCAACAAAGTGAGTCCTCTCCCTCTCTTACCCAGAACACCCTGACCTCTGGAGTTCTCCTGCCTAGGACTCCTGTCTCCTGCCTGACCTTTACCCACCTGGGGAGTTTCTGGTCCACTCAGCCCTCTGCATGCCCTGCTTTCCCTACAGATAACCTCCAAAGCTCTGTGACCATTGACTTAGCCCTTGACCCTGGTCACTTGAGTCCCCGTGCTGTCTTCAAAGAGACAAATACCAGGACCCTTACTAGAGTCAAAGACCTTGGACTGAACAAGTACTGTGAATCTATGAAGTTGCTCCTTCCGGTGAGGGGTCCTCAGATGGATGCAGGGAGAGATGTGGGTAGAGGCCATTTGGAGGCTGGCAGCAGGCTGGTCAGATAAAGAAAGGGGCATAGAATCTAGCATGCAGATGGTGCTTCAAACATGTTAACTAAATGAGTGAAGGAATGAACAAGGTGGGCTGCAACTGCGAGAGGTTACACAATTGGATTTCAGGAAAGAGAAAAGGGCTGCTGAGAGAACTCAGGAGCTTCCTTCAGGCTGACTTTCAGGCATCCAGTGGGCACTTATTTATGGCTTTGCTTCTCTGAGACAGGCCCTGTCTAGGGGGACACAGCAGGGAACAAAGCAGCTATTGCTCACAGGAGGTTCTGGGTGGGGTGGGGGGAATTCCAAACCAAATAAGTTTCCAGATAATAGGTGTCAGGTTGTGAAAACTACTAGGAAGAAAGACAAAATCAGGAGGATGTCAGGGAGGCCTCTTGGAGGAGTGTAGTTTGAGAAGACATTGAGCAAATCAAGGGAACCATGTGTGAATATTGGGCAAAGATTCTGCATGGTGGGGATAATAGCAACAAATACATACTGAGTGCAGATAGCTCTCATTATTACTCCGTTTACAGATGCACTTAGTAACTTTGCGCAGTATTTTCTTTAACATCCTCCCTTCAATGTCCTCTAGTCCTGTGTGGAGGACTCATTGACTCCCATCATCTTGCGTCTCAACTTCTCTCTGGAGGGCAAGCCCATCCCTTCCTTCAGAGACCTCCGGCCTATTCTGGCTGCAGATGCTCAGACATACTTCACGGCTTCGGTGAGCCCTGGTGTTGGGGTCTCCCAGAGGGATAACACAGGATGGCCTCTGGATCTCTGGAAAATCCTGTGTTGTCTTTCCTCTCAGCTCCCCTTTGAGAAGAACTGTGGGGCTGACCACATCTGCCAGGATGACCTTGGCATCACCTTTGACTTCTCAGGGTGAGCTTCCACCTGCTTGGGCCTGACCCTGGGCCCCAGCCTCACTCCCACAACCTGGGACTCCTGTCTCTGGCTCCCTAACGTTCCCACCTGGGATTAAGAACCTGTCACCTGTCTACTTTCCATCCTCCTACCCCGTATTTTATCCCCAGAACATTTCTAGCCTCAGTCACAGAGTCATCTCCTCCTTCCACCCCAATAACCTAGCATGAAGACCTTGGTGGTGGGAAGTAACCTGGAGCTGAACGCAGAAGTAACAGTGTCAAATGACGGTGAAGATTCCTATGGAACCACAGTCACCTTCTTCTACCCAACAGGGCTGTCCTATCGACGTGTGTCAGGGGGCCAGGTATTCTTTCTGGGGATGGAAGAGGCTGGGAATCAGGATATACCTGTTCTAGGTTCAACGCTCAGGCTGGTTGGCCACTGCTTAGCAGCCTCTACTGGTCCAAGAGATCTGGGCTGATCTTGGTTAGATGGATATAGTTGTGCTGTTTGGGGTTTGTCCCTGTTCATGCCTGCTATATTTGACTTTGGTTATTTTTTGGTGGGGGTACTGGGGATTGAACCCAGAGGGACTTAACCACTGAGCCACATCCCCAGCCCTTTTTATTTTTTTTTTTATTTTGAGACAGACTCTTGTTAAGTTGCTTAGAGCCTCACTAAGTTGCTGAGGCTGGCTTTGAACTTATGATCCTCCTGCCTCAGCCTCCTGAGCTGCTGGGATCACAGGCATGTACCACCATGCCCAGCTGAACATTGCATTTTTAAGACCCTGACTATCAGAAATAAGTTCCTAGGAGGCTACTAGTATGGAGAGAGGGTAGCCTGCTTTAAATTTCTTTTATGCCTTACCATATCCTCATTTAAAGGAAAACCTATCTCAACCCTCAAGTATTTTAAAACATGGTTCTGTAGAAGAAAGAATTTCTTGATTACTTTGAATTACTTTGAATTGAATTACTAATTCAAAGTATTGCTATTAAAGGACTAGATAAGAAATATTTCAGTTTTGTGGACCAAACATTTTCTGTCCCAGCCACTCAATTCCACTGCTGTAGAATGAGAGCAGACATTGATAAGAATATGTATATGAATGAGCAAAGCTAGGATCCAATAAAATTTTATTTATAAAAATAGGTGGTGGGCTACTGTTTGCCATTCTCTCTTCTAGAAGACAGAAATATGGCTATAGGGAGTCAAAGAGAAACAGATTTTTTTTTCAAAAAACAATTTTTATGAGAAAATTTAAACATTTCCAAAGCAGTGAATAGTTCAACAAGTTTCCTAAAAACTTATCACCTAGATTCAATAATTATCAATATTTTGCTCAATTTGTTTCATTTTTTGTTTTCTTTTGCTGAAAATATTTTAAAATAAATCCCAGACGTTGAGTTCTTATTTTAGTCTGTAGTTCTGAAAAATGGGGACATCTTACATGACCCGAAAGCCATTATCTCACTCAAAAAAATGAATGAGTCCTTGGTATTTAGACCATAGTCAAAGTTCCCTGATGGTCTCAAAAATGTCTTTTTGTGCCTGGTTTATTTGAACAAGGATCTAAACTAGGTCTGCACATTAAATTTGTTTGTCATGTTTGCTATGTTTCCTTAGTCTAACATTTCCAATAGGATCATACTTTTTTTTAAACTGGTTCCAAGTTATTTTATCCTGAATTTATTTTTAATGCCAATGACAACAAAAGACCTCTTTTACCTGAGTCATTTTACAGAACAGAAAACATGATTTCCTGAAATGGCATTTTAGAGAACTTAAAGGAAAACAGTATTTGACCTGAGAAAGATGGAATGCAAATCACTTTGTTCACTTAGGGAGGGCTCTTCCCATATTGTCCTGTCACTGAAAGTGTTTCTAGACATATCAACCAAAGGCAATATGTAGACCTTGTTATGTATTGATTTTAGCAAATGAGTAGTGAAAAATACCTGGAGACTATCCAAGAAAATGGAACGTGAAGTTCATATTAAGTAGTTACTGTTAATTTTTCTGGGTGTGGTTTATTGGGTCTTGTGGTTATGTGGCCCTGTTGCTTTGGGCTTGTGGTGAGGTATCTACTTGTGGTAGACACTGAAGTAAAGCTGGATAAAACCATATGAAGTCTGGAATGTGCTTTAAATTATTCAGAAAAAGAATAAATGGAATGAATTTAACAAAATCATGTTGTCTTCATATATGAAGGTACAAAGGGAATTTCACCAAAGGAAGTTTAGTAGAGCAGAAGAGGGAGAATATTGGGAGGAATAAGAGGGGCAAAGGGAATTCAAATCAAATTCCTTGCATGCATGATTTTTATCACAATGAACCCAAATACTACATATAATTTTAATGTTCTATTAAAAAATAAATTATTCAGGAAAAGAAGGTGAAGATAGCTGAATAAAACAAGTACCTTTAGAAATGACAATAAATAAAAAAGGAAAATTCTAATAATTAGAGATTTCTACCCTAGGAGGAAGTTTGCAGATAGAGTGTAGGGGATAACATGAAGGTAGATTGCTCATTTTGTTTTGTCTATTTTTTTCTTTTGCTGAAATCTTTGAAAACAATACCCTGCCTCGTCCCTACATTAGAGTCTCTTTGAAATTCTAATAAATAAGCATCTTGTTTTTTTTTTTTCCTTCCTGCCTACCTTTTTCTGAAATCAGCTGAAGCTGCGCCCCGTGCACTGGACATGTGACAGCACCCCAGCAGGGAGCCAGGGTACCTGGAGAACCAGCTGCAGCATCCACCACCTCATCTTCCGCGGGGGCACTAAGGTCAGCCTGGCTTCTGCACACCCCCTCCTCCCCTGCCTCCACCAGGCTTTACTCCTTTGTGACCTCCCTATTCCTTTCTCTTTCTCAGATCACCTTCTTGGCTACCTTTGATGTCTCCCCCAAAGCTGTGCTGGGAGACAGGCTGCTTCTGACAGCCAATGTGAGCAGGTGAGATGGGCTAGGCCCAGGGGCAGCACCCTTCTCACCCCCAGCCTCACATCCCATCCTCCTCCTCTGGGGCCTTTGGAAACTGGCATTTCATCTTTTTCCAGTGAGAATAACTCCCCCAGGACCAGCAAGACCACCTTCCAGCTGGAGCTCCCGGTGAAGTATGCTGTCTACCCTGTGATCAGCAGGTACCCCACTGAGACCTCAAAAGGGTTCTTCTCCATCTTCCTAATTGGGAGAAGGAAGTGGTTTTCACCTCAGCAGCAGGTGAACGTCTGCGTTATTTTAGGTTTTATCATTATCCTTTCAAGTGCTAGGTAAATCTTCTAGTAGTGCTTATTAATCAATGGTTGTTTATTGTGGGATAGATATGATATTATATCCTGCATTTAATAATTTAACAGAGCTTATAAGTCTCAGAACACTTTCCAAAAATCCTCAAGATTGTTTCTTGGGTGCATGTAATAATGATTTGTGTGCATGTAATAATGATCCCCACTATTATGTATAATTATAATGCACCAATGAAAATGTAGGAAAAATAAAAAAAATAAAATAATACCAAAAAAGAGATTTTTTAAAAAGATTCTCTTGGGTTCCCTAGGATATATGAGACAAGTCCCTGACTTTGAGGTTTTTTACAACCTTATTGAGTAGCAATGTTACCCTGATCCAAGCCAGAATCTCATCAAGGGCTGCTCTATGGTTCTGTACCCTAAGATGATATAGGTATGTTAGTCAGTCTTTCCTCAATATAACAAACACCTGAGATAATCAACTTAAATATAAAAGATTAATTTTGTCTTACAGTTTTGGAGGTTCTAGTTCATGATCAGGTGGCCCTGTTGCTTTGGGCCTGTGATGAGGTATCACATCATGGCAGAAATGCTCACTTCATGACAGAAAAGAAAGATACTGTGGTATCACAGTTCCCTTTAGGAGCAGGCCCCAAATGACCTAAAGACCTTTCATTAGGCCACACCCACCTCCTAAAGGCTCTACCACCTCCCAGAAGTGCCACATGGGCCTTTGGCAGACATTCAATATCCAAACCACAGTAGTGAGTTTCCAAGGGGAGACTAGGGCCTCCTGTAAGAGGTGGTCTCAGATAAATTTTGAAGGGTCTACAGCCTTGGTCTTGACCAACAGTGATTCTGAAAGGGGCTCTTGGCATTTGGGCAGGACACTTCTTTTCACAGAGCAGATTTATACCATAGGACTTTAGAATCCCCTCCCCCTTTGCCCTCCTGGTAAGAATAAGGATAGATGATCTGCCTGCTACAGAGATTGGATGTCAGGAAAAAGTTGGATAAAAGGATAGGGCCTTAAAATGCTGCTCAAGGGGATTAGATGAGGTGTTTAAAACTAAGAAGTAGCCAGTTTTTAAGCAGATAACTTCCTTCAACAAATGCCTTCCTAGTGTTTGCTATGTGGCAGGCACAGTGCTGTGGTTACTTTCTATAAATTCATTTGACCTTCAACAATAATCTATTGAGCTCATATGCATCATCAAAGCTAAATATAAGCCTCTGCTCTTATGGGACATGCCTCACTAACTGATCTCTTCCTGTTTAGAGTTTCACTTTCTCATTTGCACCTGCATGTTTGGGGGATCCCAGCCAGATGCATGCTGTGAACTCGTTTGCTGGGGTGTATACTGGGGTTCTCACACCTTCTTTCAGGGGACCCATAGGTGGGGTACACTATCATTATGTGTGACCCTACAGCTCAGCCACACTCTGCAGATGTGGCTCTGTGGGTGGGGACCCTCAAAGGGGGCCCCAGGCCCAGTCTGAAACATTTCTTGCAAAAGAAGAATGAAACTTAAATTAGGAATAGTGGGCTGGAATTTGGACTATGCAGGCAAAGGAGGGGTACCCAAGGAATGGAGCAGTGAGGGTCAGAGGTGAGACCAGCCATCATCCTGGCCAATGCATCTCTTGGCTTAGGCTCAAGTAGACCTTAGGAAGTATTGTGACAGTGAGAACCCGTGAAGAGTCTGTTGTTGGGACCCCTCACCCCAAGCCCCAGTTCAGGAAAAGCCAAGGAAACAGGAGAGAAGGGCCCTAGGGAAGGCCTGTGGGACTTCAGAAAGGGGCACAGTGCTTAGTAGGCACATGGCTGGCAGGGTCAGCTTGAGTCTCCCCCAATCTTTGCTGTGTCCTATATGCCCACCAGCATCCTATATGCTCATGAAGAACTGAAAGGAGAACTGTGGTGCAGAGAGGGGCAGGCTGTGGCTCCCACCCTCCCAGAAGCTAGTGGCATAACTGTTCTTTTCACTGCCACCCTGCTCAGTGCCCTGAGAAATCTCCTCTGTGGGCAACTCCTGCAAGTACTTTACACCCATGTCAAAGCTTGGCCCTACTCTCGAAACCATCCTTTATCCCAACTCAGATCTCATTCCAAGTCATGCTGAGGCCCCACTGACCACCTCTTTCATCATGCCAGATTCACAGCCTCCTCAGAAGACCACCATGGGTCTTCAAATTCACTCATGCCTTTTCTTTCTCCAGCCACGACCAATCCACCAAGTACCTCAACTTCTCAGCTTCAGAGGAGAAGGGAGGCAGTGTGGCCAAGCACAGATACCAGGCAAGTGGTGGAGACAAAGGAGGTTGGTCTAGAGAAGGAGCCCTGGAACTGGAGAGCCAGGAGGGATGAGAATCTGGCATGGGCTCTGCCCTCACTGCCTTCTGTGCAGGTGAATAACCTGGGACAAAGGGACCTGCCTGTCAGCATTGACTTCTGCGTGCCTGTGAATCTGAATGGAGTGGCTGTGTGGACAGAGGTGGAGGTCTCTCCCCTTCAGGTACCCAAAGACTGTGTTTGGTTCCTCCATTAATATCCCTTACCTGGATTACCTATTTTCCTCATGAGCTGCCAATGTCCCAACTGAGACTTTTTTTCATGTTTTCTCCCAGAACCCATCCATTCAGTGCTCTTCGGAGAGACTAGTTCCCACAGAGTCTGACTTCCTGACTCATATTCATAAGAATCCTGTGCTGGTGAGGTGGGCTCTGGGCTATTCGCCACTTTAGCCACATATCAGAGGAATTTAATTCAGGAATCCTGTTACATCAGATTCAGATGTGGATGTTTCCCTCTAATCATGTGGTTTAAGTCTGTCTTCTACCTTCAAACTCACCTTCCTATGGCCTGATACTATGTCTCTCTACCTAGGACTGTTCCATTGCTGGCTGCCTGAGGTTCCGCTGTGACATCCCCTCCTTCGGCATCCAGGAGGAGCTTGACTTCATCCTGAAGGGCAACCTCAGCTTTGGCTGGGTCAGCCAGGTGTGTAGGCCCCTTCCCTCAGATTCACATGGTACCTGATGGGTCTGTACCATGCCTTAGGCCAGATCATTTTCTGAACTCTGAGCTTCCCTCTCCAGATCCCCTCACCCTAACACTGTCTTGCAGACATTGCAGAAGAAGCTGTCGGTCATGAGTGTGGCTGAAATCACATTTGACAGATCTGTGTATGCCCAGCTTCCAGGACAGGAGGCATTTTTGAGAGCCCAGGTAGTGACTGTGGGGTAGGCAGTGGCCAGGCTGGTAAGAGGCTCCTGATACTAAATCTGTGCTGCTGGGTGGGGGGTTTGCAAGCTTAGAGGGAGGAGGGAGGAAGGTCCCTGGGCAAAACAGTTGCCCTGAAGAGTTTGAGTGTTCCTGCATCTCACCTCTTAGAGCAGGGCCTAGGGAAGGAGGGGAGAGATCTAAAGCCAGGAAAACTGGGTTGGGGTTGGGGGTTTCTGAGATTGCATGAGGCCCAATACTTTCTGATGGGTCACCTCTACTCCAGATGAAGACAGTGCTGGAGAAGAATGAGGTCTATGACCCTATCCCCCTCATTGTGGGCAGCTGTGTGGGAGGTCTGCTGCTACTGGCTCTCATCACTGCCACATTGTATAAGGCAAGTTTAAACCCACTCTAGCCATGAGGGTAAGAAAGAGCTCATTTTGGAGTTGGATGTGCATTCTCATTAAGTCTGTTCATATGAGAAATTTCCTCCCCTCATATTATCAGTCACCAATTTCCCACCCCCCCATTTGTATCTTCCTGATTCTCAGATATCATCTCATCTCTCCCTTTCTTTTCTGCTCCTTTACCTTTCTAGTCTTTCCCTTTGCAGCAGAACATAACATAAAGCCATGAATACTTGGATTTGAATGTTGATACCACCATTAATTATTTCTTTGACTGTAGGAAAGTGCCTAGTCCACTGTAAGTCTTTACTTTTCTCATTGTGAAGCTGATTGTACTTATGGCTGACAGAATCTGGATCTAATTCTAAATGATAATGAGTACAAAGCTCCTTATGTTGTGCTTTGAACATAGTAGGAGTTCTACAAATGGTGATCCCTTCCTTTTCCCCATTTCACCACTTTTCCTTTCTCTTACTGGACTTCCTGATCTTCTCCACAGGTTGGCTTCTTCAAACGTCAATATAAGGAAATGATGGAGGAAGCAAATGGACAGCTTGTCCCAGAAAATGGAACATTAGACCCCCAAGATGCTCAGTGAAAAATGACTTCCTGTTCTCCTTTGGAACTATTCTCCCCGATAGGTTTTCTAGTTCCTCTTACTCTCACCTGTGTTGGGCCTAAGGGGGAAAGAACATTCCACACGAAGGAGGCTGGGATCAGGCTGCTTTCACTTTTTGGGAAAATGCAATATGTCTACCCCAGAGTGTCTTGTCTGGGAAGTTTTATTCATCTTGTCAAGGCTCCAGCTGGAAACCCTGAGGACTGGGTCTCTGTCATGATCTAGAGGGCTTGGAATTTCTACCCAGAAATCCATGGACTATAGTCTCAGGTTCCAGTCTCCCTCCCTCCACTAGCCACCAGTGATCTTTCTAAAATACAGAACTAAATGAGTCACTCATTCTCATCCATCGTCAGTGGCTCCCGTTACTTTTAGGATAATGTCTGAACTCTCATTTTGGTGTTAGACATCCCATTCCATTTCTAGAAGGTGGGCTTCATAGCACACAGCATGAGATGCTCTGTGTCTCCTTGTCATCCCCATTCTTAGTAAATTACTGTCATGTCAGTTCCTAGCTTTGTTTTGGGAATTTCAGTCCAGCTTTCTCAAACTGGGAAAACTTTCTGAATTGGGAATGAAATGACTATACACTGGAATTCATAAAGCTGGCTTCTGGCATTGGTCAGCATTGATAACTGGGAGGGAGGGTATCCTCTCGGAAGGGATTCTGCCCCAGTGCTACTGAAGCTCAACCAGTTCCAGGTCCAAAGAGGCCTAAGCCACTTCCACTTTTTGAGGCCCCCAATATAATAAATGAAGAAATGCCAGAACATTTTTAAAAAGTGTGTTTTAAATGTTTGCATTAGTAAATTAAAACATGCACAAAAAGATGTATGTACCTTTAATGGAAAATATGTTAAAAGTCTAAAGTTCAGGCCTTTTATGGAGTAAGTCTTGGACATTAATGCCCATGGGTCCCTTTACCATGGTGGACTCTGGCCAGCCCTGAGACCTGGAGTCAGGCCAAGACAGTTAACCAGAATGGGGATTAGGACCGTCCCTATATTGAGGATAGATAACCTGACCTCTTACTCTACTCACTCTGTTCTCTTGACTGTTGCTAATGGAAGCTGATGGAGCTGTGGAGAAAGACTTGGTGGGAGGAGGCAAGAACAAAGAAATGGCAGCCCTCACTGGCTTCTCTTCCATCTGGAGAGGTCACTGGAGTGAACCAATACACAAGTGTTTCTCACCAATCCTAGCATGTGTTGCAAAGCATACTGATTGCATATGGTTAATGATTCAATAACACTCTTACTTCCATATCAGGAACTTGCTTCTCCCCAAAAGGTCATTTAGTTACATTTTTAAATGTAACTAAAAAGAACATATGTAACTAAAAAGAACAGTCTTCTGCTATTTGTTCTTTTTAGTTACATATGACAGCAGAAATCTATTTTGATGTATTTATACAAACATGGAATGCATCTTATTTTAGTTAGGATCCCAGTCTTGTGGATGTATGTGATGCCGAGATTCACTGTAGTGTATTCATATATGTACATAAAAAAGTTATGTCAGATTCATTCCACTGTCTTTCCTATTTTTACCCCCCCTCCCTCCCCTTCATTCCCTTTGTCTAATACAATGAATTCTTCCTCTCTCCCCCAAAATCAATAAATGGGATGGTATTAAACTAAAATGCTTCTTTTTAAAAAATAGTTATTTTTCAGATATAGGTGAACATAATATCTTTATTTTATTTTTATGTGGTGCTGAGGATCGAACCCAGTGCTTCACGCATGGTAGGCAAGTGCTCTACCTCTGAGCCACAACCCTAGCCCCTAAAATGCTTCTTCACAGTGAAGGAAATAATCAAGTGTGAAGAGAGCCTACAGAATAGGAGAAAAATTTTGCCACCTACATCTCAGATACAGCATTAATTTCCAGGATATACAAAGAACTCAAAAAGCTTAACACCCCCCCCCCAAAAAAAATACAACAACAATAACAAACCCAAATAACCCAATCAATAAATGGGCAAAGGAAATAAACAGACACTTCTCTAAGGAAGAAATATAAATGGTCGGATGAATTCATTGGCTGTGGAATTGGAACCAGAGGGTATTCTGGCCCCTGGAGGCTGGGGCTCATGTACTTCACTCCTTTTCTCAGTGCACCGACGGTTCGGAAGATTTATCTGGCAGTGTACGCATTCTGAGAACAGGAGTTGAATTAGTTCTCAAAAATGGGAAGAACCTACATTGTAGAAGAGAGTGTTGGCCAATATCTTTCAAACATCAGTCTCCAAGGAAAAGCTTTTGTCTCTGGTCTTTTGATAGGACAGAACACCACCCAAAGAAGAACAAAATGAGAACCTCAAACATTCCAAAGCTAAGTTGGATAATTTGGATGAAGAATGGGCCACAGAACATGCCAATCAGGTATCCAGGGGGACTTTTAGTTCTTGGAGTATTTATCATTACAACTTTGGAACTGGCAAATGATTTTCAAAATGCCCTGCGCAGACTAATATTTGCTATGGAAAAGTGTATGAATAGAAAAAGAATGTGGAATTTCACAGAGGAGGAGCTCTCAGAACGAGTAATACTTCACATTTGCTCATCTACAAAAAAAATATCTTGTCGATATTTTGGGTCATGATGTCCATGACCCAAAGAGTTCAGCAAGACCAGCCGATTGGAAGTATCAAAGTGGACTGTCTACTTCATGGCTTTCTCTAGATTGTACCATTCACATTGATATTCACATTCTACTTTCTTCTACTTCTGTCAGCTATACTCTGGAAAAAATTACAAAGAATGGACTTACATGCTGGGCCAAGCAAATAGAAAATGGTGTTTATTTGATTAATGGACAAGTTAAAGATGAAGATTGTGATCTATTAGAAGGACAGAAAAAAATCTTTCAGAGGAAATACTCAAGCAACTAGTCATTCTTTTGATGTGAGAGTGCTAACACAATTGCTTCTGAATTCAGACCACAGATCTACAGCCACAGTTCAGATCTGCAGTGGTTCTGTAAACCTTAAGGGTTCTGTGAAATGCAGAGCTTATATTCACAGCAACAAACCCAAGGTTAAAGATGCTATGCAGGCAGTGAAGAGAGATATATTGAACACAGTTGCTGATCGTTGTGAAATACTATTTGAGGACCTGCTTTTGAATGAAATCCCAGAAAAAAAAAAGATTCTGAAAAAGAGTTCTACATTGTCCCCATTCCTGGATCCACTGTAAAGTTATGTGATTATAAATTTGGTGATGAATCAGCCGAAGAAATCAGAGACCATTTTATAGAAATGTTAGATCATATGGTTCAAATAGAAGATTTGGAAATTGCAGAGGAAGTCAACACAGCTTGTATGAGCTCTATGAATAATGAAGCTTCACTGGAACACAAAGATGATAAACAGCTAGAGCAACCAATTAAAACTACAGTAATGTTGAAAATTCGGCAAAACACAGGTGTGATTGCAGCATTTGCAGTTGCAGTTCTTGCTGCGGGTATCTCCTTTCATTACTTCAGTGATTAGGGTGAGGCACAAAGAGCTTCCTGATCATCCAGAGAACATTGGTCAACAACTATAAATAATAAAGATATAAACAGTCCCTCTATAGTCAAGACACTAGCAGTCAGATCTTCTACCACACACACACACACACAAAAAAAAAAGAAAGAAATATAAATGGTCAACAAATATATGAAAAAATGTTCAACATCTCTAGCAATTAGCAAATTAAAACTACATTGATGTTTCATCTTACTCCAGTCAGAATGGCAATTATCAAGATACAAGTTACCAGAATACAAGTAACATTAATTTAAGTAATAAATGTTGGTGAGGATGTGTGGAAAAAGTTACACTCATTCATTGCTATCGGGACTGCAAATTGGTATAATCACTCTGGAAACCAGTTATGGGGTTCCTTAAAAAAATTGGACCTGGTTATACCACTAATCAATATATATCTAAAGGAGTTAAAATCAAAAGGTCATTCTTTTATCATGCCACCTTTCCATCATAGAGCTCACCATGGTGCCTGGCAGTTAGTTGGGGATCAAAACATGGCAAGCCATTCTCTGCTTTCAAGAGATCCTACTGGTGCTGCCACCGCCAAGGTACTTGGGCCATATATGTTTCAAATAGGAATAGAACAAGGAGGCAGTTGATCATAAGATCTGAAGGGAAGTTTGCCTCCATCCAAAAATATCCTCCATTCACCATAATAGGGTCAAAAATTCCTTTGGATTTTGAAATTTTGAGTCCCCAGAATGATCAATTATTGTGCAATGTCCCCTGGCCAAGAGTTGTGTTTTCCCAAATGTGTTTCATAAAACCATTGATGATCTCCTAAGTAGTAAATTTTGGAGAAAAAATAAAGCAAGAAATGATTTTATCCTCATAGATCTCAAACACTTGGAACTGGCAATTTGAATAGAAATAGTGCTGCCCCCTTAATAATTGTGTTCTTTTTTTAAAAGATAATCTTGTTCTTAAAGCTTCCACATGGGCTCCGAGGACTGCAAGGGCTCTTGTTTAACATTCAGGCAACAAGACATAAATTTCATATAATATTATGTGTTATTTTTTATATCCATTACATTTGCATTTTGGGGGGGTGCTATTGTGTTGTACTATATCCCCAAATCACAAAAATGAACCAATGGATTAAAACCCTGAAATTTTTAATAAAAATAACAATTACTACAATTTAGAATAATGTCATCAAAATCAGCATTGACTTTGAGTCCAATGCACACATAGAATAAAAATATATGCGGGACTGGGTTGTGGCTCAGTGATAGAGCGCTTGCCTAGCATGTGCGAGGCCTTGGGTTTGATCCTCAGCACCACATAAATAAAAATAAAGATATTGTGTCCAGCTACAACTAAAAAATAAATATTAAAAAAAGAAATATATGAAATCTGGCATGAGTGATTTTTGAGTCAAAAACTAAAATATATCTAGAAACTATTGTACCATCTAAAAATTGGATTTTCTTCGTTTTGGTGTGTATTTGTTCCCAGTCTGTTTTCCTTTCTGAAACTTTGTCAAATTATAGTAGCACGGAGCTATCAGAGTTTTTGTGTCATTTTCAATCAAAGCAAAATGACCTCTGATGTAAAGCAACAAAGATTTCTTAAAACAACTGCAACATGATGCATTCCCATCCACAATCAGACAATGTTATCAACTACAGAAAAGACAGCAGACTTACAGTGACATAAATCAAAGTTGCTTTTATAGCAAAAGTGGGACAAGTCACATAATTTCCAAGATGCTTATGAAAACAACAGTGAAGTTAATGCCTACATTGGATTATTGCTTTTGGCTGCAAGTAACAGGAGAAAAAAATGCATAAGAACATATAA